CCCTGAGCCCTGCATTAGATGTGATGGGCAGCAGCACATATCTGCTGGCAGAGCCTGGGTCCCCCTGCCTCTTCTGCTCTATCGTGAAAGCCCAAGTTCACCCCATCACCGTGGAGCTGATGAGCAGGTGTGGGATGATAGCACATCACACACATACTGGGTGCCACAGGAATCTCTGAAGTTAGGGCTGATGAGAGAGACCCCCACAGTGATTCTGAGTGCACCTGGTCATGAGGTTAGGCAGACCCAGACACCGTGACCACAACTGAGAGCATTTAGTTGGAGCTTGCTTACATTTACAGAGGTTTAGTCCATTATCATTGTGACCAGGAGCATGGCAACACACACAAGACACGGTGCTGGGGAAGTAGCTGAGAGTTATTCATCCAGATCCTCAGGCATCAGGAAGATGGGCCTGGCTTGAGTTTTTGAAACTTCAAAGCCCCCTGTGGTGACACACTTCCTCCAATGAAGTTGTTCCTCTTAATCCTCTATTAACACCTCTCACTGATGACTAAGCATTCAACTCTGTGAGCCTGAGGGTCCATTCTTTTTTTTTTTTTTTTTTTTTTTTTTTTTTTTTTTGGTTTTTCGAGACAGGGTTTCTCTGTATTGTTTTGGAGGCTGTCCTGGAACTCACTCTGTAGACCAGGCCTCGAACTCACAGAGATCCACCTGCCTCTGCCTCTCGAGTACTGGGATTAAAGGCCACCAACGCCCGGCCTGAGGGTCCATTCCTTTTTTTTTTTTTTTTTTTTTTTTTTTTTTGGTTTTTCGAGACAGGGTTTCTCTGTGGCTTTGGAGGCTGTCCTGGAACTCACTTGGTAGTCCAGGCTGGCCTCGAACTCACAGAGATCCGCCTGCCTCTGCCTCCCGAGTACTGGGATTAAAGGCGTGAGCCACCACCGCCGGGCTGAGGGTCCATTCTTATTCACACCACCACAACTAGGGAGCAAGCAGAGGTGGGGGAGGGAGAGGGAGGGGAAAAAGGGCGAAGGGGAAACGGGAGGGACTTGGAAATAGTGGAGGCTTTTGAAACCTCCAAAAGCCCACACCTCCTAATCCTTTTCCAACCTTGTGTCTTCCCCCTCCCCTGAGACAGGTTTCTCTCTTTGCAGACCAGGCTGGCCTCTAACTCACTAAGTGCTGAGAATAAAGACGTGGGTCACCATGCCTGGCAACCTTTAGTCTTTCTGATGCTTCTCTTGGACTTGGAATCTATTGGTGTAGGCAGACGTGGCAGAGGTCTTGTGCCAGTACTTGTTTCTCTGTGACTCACTCACTCTCTCTCACTCTCTCTCTCTCTCTCTCTCTCTCTCTCTCTCTCTCTCTCTCTCTCTCTCTCTCTCTCTCTCTCTCTCTCGTGTGTGTGTGTGTGTGTGTGTGTATCTGTCTGTCTGTCTGTCTGTCTGTCTGTCTTCATTCTCTTTAGGGGAGGTGGGAGAGTTGAAATAGGTCACTACACTTCCCAAGCTGGTCTCAAATTTAGATCCTCCTGGGATTACAGACTTGCGCCACCATTCCTACTTACGCTGACTCTTGAAAGGTCAAGTCTAAACAGCCCATCTGTTTTGCATTTGCACTGTCAGATAATTCTCTGATCAATGGAGTGAACAAAGTCCATCCGTGTCTCTCTGGGGGTGGCTTCTCTCAGTGGCTCCTTGCTTGGCTGCCCTTGAATCATCAAAGGACATGAAACTTGATCTGAAACTCGGACTTTCTTTGAGGTTCTCTCTGCTGGGGATATTGGGCCCCTTCTTTCCGTCTGCTGCTTGTAGATCCTGGGTCTTCATTTGAATTTATTTCGTGGTAGGAATTTCTACTGCTTGGTACAGTCAGAAATGTTTGCGTGGGGGAAGTTAGTCTCTGTATGACACTGGCTGTGGCAACATGCACACTGGGTGGGCAGATGTTTCATGCAGTGAAGACAAGAAGAGCTGTATGGGCAGGAAAACAGACCCTGGCTGGAGGGTCTTAGACAAGTGCAGCAGAAATGTGGGTGTAAAGTCTGTACAGTGTCCTATAATGGTGAACATAAGCACATGCCATGATGGCTGCCTCCACTCCCGAGGGCAAGCCAGCAGAAACACTTAGAGAGGATGAATGGATACTGAGTGGCCCAACCCAAGTGTTGGTTAGTAGAGGATGCACGCACCATTCTGTAAATAGGGAGATATTGCATGGTAATGATGTGAAGGAATGACTTGCTATGTGAATGAGTCTGTTTAAAATTATCTTCCTGCAGCCGGGCATTGGTGGCGCACGCCTTTAATCCCAGCACTCGGGAGGCAGAGGCAGGAGGATCTCTGTGAGTTCGAGACCAGCCTGGTCTACAGAGCGAGTTCCAGGACAGCCTCCAAAGCCACAGAGAAACCCTGTCTCAAAAAACCAAAAAAAAAAAAATTCTCTTCCTGCTTAAGTTATTGTTACAGGAAGAGTGGTTAAGGCTGGGATGTTGGGCTTTGTAAGGTCCCTTGGCCCATAGATACTGTGTCCTAGGGCTCCTCGGTGGGCACACTGCCTCACCAGAGGACAAGGACCAGTTGCCTAGAATGTTGTGAATTCCTGATGAAAGCTAAGTGAAATGACTGTCCTGGGAGAAAGAGATGGTTGAGCAGGAGTGAGTACACATTTGAACTCATGTTTTGTTTTGTAATATTTGTATCCTGCTTGCATTATCTGCCAGTGCTGAGAACATTGAACTTCACTCATCTCTGTGTTTGTTGACCTGATGGATATTTGTTGAGTGTCATCTTGCACATTCTCTAAATTAGATTTTACTCTGTGTGTGTGTGTGTGTGTGTGTGTGTGTGTGTGTGTGTGTGTGTGTGTGTTGGCTGGCGGGTTGGTGGTGGCGTGTGTGCAGTGGTGTGGAAGCAGAGGTCAGGAGACAATTTGCAGGAGTTAGTTCTCTGTTCCACTGTGGGGAATCCCAGGATTGGCGGTACCCACTGAACCATCTTGCTGACTCTGTTGAATGTCACTCTTGCCCTGTAGGTGACAGTGTTAGAAGGTCAGTGTTGGTTAAAGAATATATGTACTGTTTAATTACATATTGTTGGGTTAGTGTCCCCTGGAGGTTGAAACAGAACTGTCGGGAGTCTTGATATTGTAGATCTGACAGGGAAAGTGGAGCCCATCAGCGGGGTGGTAGATGAAGGGCTGGAGTTGCAGGTTCCAGTATAAGAGAGGGGGGGGGCTAGCATAGAACAGAATCTGGCTACCAAAAACTCTGAGGGATTCTCATAGGTTATTTAGCTCCTGTAATAAGAAGCCAAGGAGGAGTGACTGGGGGGCCCTGGGTGTCCTAAGGTGCAGACTTTGCTCCAACACCTTGGCAGTGACTTTTGTTTCTGAACTCGGATAGTAAAATGGCCACTCCATTTTCAGACTGCTCTCCTGGGCAGGATAGGGATATGGTGGAGTATGAATTCTCTTTCCCTCCCAGCACAGGACCTGGCCAGTCCTGGAGCCTAGGAGGTTCAGCTACCAGCAAGTTGTCACTAGAGCCAAACTGTGACATTGCCAATGAAAGATGAGGAAGAAGAAAACAGAATTTAATGGAGGTCTGGCATAACAGCACCCAGAGAGCTAGAGGAGTAGTGCCACACCCATAATGGTTTGGGACACAGTACTGAGGGGTTGTGAAGGGAGAAAGAACACTTTCTAGGATCAGGTGACAACAGGTAGTGATGATACTTGGTATTACACTGGGAGCAAGACAGTGCTGCACACTCTCCTAAATGAGTATGGCGTCCTTTGTACTACATATAGTAAAGTACATAGGGTGAGGTCTTCACAGGCAGGCAGTGTGTACATCTTTCAGTGTACATACAGATATTTGACATGAGTCAGGTACATGCAACCATGGAAGCATGCACTAAGGATCCTGGTGAGGTGGAAACCATGATATCCAGAAGGGCATGAGGCTAGATGCACAATCCAGAGCTAATGCCTGGAGTGTACCCCCAAAAGAGGGCTGGGGTGGAGAGATGGCTTAGTGGTTAAGAACACTCTTGCAAAGTCCTGAGTTTGGTTCCCATCACCCACACAGTGGCTCACAGCCCTCTGTAACTCCAGTTCTAGGTGGTCACACACCGTCTTCTGCAGGCATCAGACACACACACGGTGCGCAAACATGCAGGCAAAGCACTCTTAAACATGAAGAGAAGAGAAGGGGCAGGGAAGAGGTGCCTTCTTAAAAATGGTTGTGGGCTGCAAGGCTCTGTGGAAGAGCAGCCAGCGCTCCAAACCACAGGAGCAGGAACAAGAAGCCCAAGCTTTTAAAAGCTGCTGTGGTGGTCGAGTTTTGTTTCTTGCTGTTCTTTGTTTTTATTGTTTGAGAGCTGAGGCTCAGACTTTCAGGCCTTGTGCTCTACCAAAGACCCACATCCCCATTCTGGAGCCAAGTCCTGATGTCTTCTTTGTAAAGGAGGTGACTTTGGTCCTCACGAGCCTCTGCTCAAAGACAGAATGAGGAGAATGCCAGCATCCCCAGTAGGGCAGGTTGGTTTGGCTCTGCCTGAGGCTTTAAGAGTGGTAGACATCTCATTGTAGACATTGTAACACAGGTCTGATCATCCTCAGGCCAAGCTTTAAACTGATGCCATTACTACTGTGTTTGCCTGGAAAGTAGATGAAATTGGTCCTAGGCCCTAGGCAAACCTTAAGCCAGGATAACAGGTGGAGGTGCAGTATGGCATGCCCACCGTTCCACCAAGAAAAGACTGGACCTAGGTAGCCACGAAGTGTGGGTGATGTACCACCAGAGACTGTAAAGGGTGTGAAAGAGGAACTGAAAGAACAATATGAGAACAGGTCAATTTTAACTGGAAACAAACAGGACTTTGATGAATTCAAAACTCAGTGTGGTGAATCAGCCCTCCAGTTAGGAACAGATGGGAGCTCTAGATAATGTACCAAACGTATCTGTGGAAGGTGTGGAGCAGCAGCCAGGCATGGAAAGTTGAGCAGGAACAGTGTGCTCTTTCTATTCTTAGGTGTTTCCTGGTCTCTGAGAGGGCTGACAATATGCAAGCAATGTCATTAGAGACCAGGAAGCAGAGGCGACTCCAGGTCTGGGCTGCGCTGAGCAACCAGTCATAGAAGAACCAGAGTGGGAAGAGGAAGAGGGCTGCCTCATCTGGGTACCTTCTGAGCTCAGTGGGGCCTCCAGGGCCAGGCATCTGTAATCCCGTCTGTGGCAAGATAGAAAACAAACCCAGGAGAATCTTTGGAAGGCAAGGTAGGAAGTAGGGACAGGAGGACCCGTGGGAGCTTGTGAACAGCTAGCTCACCTAGTGGCGAGCAAGCTGGAAGTCGGGACCCAAGATTGTCCTCTGACCTCCACATATGTGTCTTCACTTAAACACTCAGGTGCACACATGCATCACACGCAGAAGATTATAGAAGAATATAAGATGTTCAAAATTAATAATGTGGATTCTTTTCTTAACATTTTAGCCTTTGCTTCCTCACTTTGCTGGAGACAGGCATGCTGGGACCCACAGCCCTGCAGACCAGGACTCCCGCCTCCTCCTCCACCTGTGTCCCTCTGCCTGGGCCGACCCTTTGATCCATGTGGTCCGTCCCTGAGATTCACTCTTCACAAGTGCCCTCAGCATGTCATCAGCAAAATCCCTAGCACCTGAGGAGACAGTGCCTGGCTGCGAGGAAGAGCTGAAAGGAAAAACACTTCTCACCTGGGGCCCCCTTTTTGGTCATCGGAGCGAGAAGATTGTTTTTACCAAAGGTGATGGCAGTCCAGAGGAGAGCCTGCTCACCGTCACCATAACGGAGACCACTGTCATTGAGTCGGACTTGGGTGTGTGGAGTTCAAGGGCTCTCATCTACCTCACGCTATGGTTCTTCTTCAGCTTTTGTACGCTGTTCCTCAACAAGTACATCCTGTCCCTGCTAGAGGGAGAACCCAGCATGTTAGGTAATGCCAGCTTGCCCAGTGTGCACTCCTATGGCCCCAGTATGACCAGAGGCCGCCAGGAGGGAGGGAAATGGCTAAAGGGACTTACCCAGATGTGTCTGGAATGAAGGGGGATGTTTGGTGCTCATGTGTGGGAAAGGAATGTTCTCTAAGTGGCCTCATGCCTCCCTTCCCAGGTGCTGTGCAGATGCTGTCAACGACATTAATTGGATGTGTTAAAATATTTGTTCCTTGCTGTTTATATCAACACAAAACCCGGCTGTCTTACCCACCCAATTTCATCATGACTATGCTCTTTGTGGGCCTCATGAGGTAAAAATGTGATAACTGTCTTATTATTATTATTTTACATATAAAATACGTTTTTAATCCAGGTATGATGGTGAATGCCTTTAATTCCAGCACTCAGGAGGCAGAGGCAGATAGTTCTGAATTTTAGGCTAGCTTGATCTACAAAGAGAGCTCCAGGACAGCCAGAGATGTAGAGAAACCTTGTCTTGAAAAACAAAAATAACAAAAGAAAAAACAAACAAACCAAAAAGAGTCTTTCTAGTTACCAAGTGTGGAAACCCTATTGGAAGCTTTGGCAATTAGTGCTTCAGTGTGTGTTCAGAGCATAGGATGCAGTCATAGGGCCATCCAGTTGTGGGACACCCATCAGTTAGACTTCAGTTTTGTAGCCCTTAATGCCACATGCATTCTCTCTTGGATTCTTTTATAAGGCAGCTATTAAAAGTAATTCAGCTGGGTGTAGTAGCACACGCTGCTGGCACGTGGGAGGCAGAGGCAGGTGGCTCTCTGAATTTGAAGCCAGTCTGGTCTGCGTAGTGAGTTCCAGGACACCCAGAGCTACATAGTGAGACCCTGTCAGATAGATAGATAGATAGATAGATAGATAGATAGATAGATAGATAGATAGCCAGCCAGCCAGCCAGCCAGCCAGCCAGAGCTACATAGTGAGACCCTGTCAGATAGATAGATAGATAGATAGATAGATAGATAGATAGATAGATAGATAGATAGCCAGCCAGCCAGCCAGCCAGCCAGCCAGAGCTACATAGTGAGACCCTGTCAGATAGATAGATAGATAGATAGATAGATAGATAGATAGATAGATAGATAGATAGATAGCCAGCCAGCCAGCCAGCCAGCCAGCCAGAGCTACATAGTGAGACCCTGTCTCAATAGATAGATAGATAGAATTTAAAAAGGGTAATTCAGTAGTGGTTGGAAGGTGTTTGTCATCCTTGAGTGCAGTGGTGTTACCCTCACCTGTTGGGAAGAGGGACCAGATGTGCCCACTGGTCATGACTAAACACATTGAGTTTTATGAGCAGATAGGTCCCTTCTCATGTACCTCTATTCTTGTTTTGAGGTTTGCAACGGTAGTTTTGGGGTTGGTCAGCCTGAAGAATGTGGCAGTATCCTTTGCAGAGACTGTGAAGAGCTCGGCTCCCATTTTCACTGTGATCATGTCTCGGATGATCCTGGGGGAGTACACAGGTAGGGACTCTCCTGGTCCTTCCATTTTTCCTGGGCTGGGCTTCATCATCCTGTTTCCATCTGTAGTGTCACCTACTGCCCATTATGTTCTGGGTCTTGCTCAGCTTTCCAGAGCTTCTCAGAGCAGTGAGCAGTCACAGACCTAGATCCAATCAGTGCTCAACTGCTAGCTTTCTCTTCTTGGGAAAGTTTTCTTGGCAGTCACATGTAGTCCCCTACGGTCCTTTGAGCAAATGCTCCATCAAGCTTGTTATAGGCTGGGGCTGTTCTTGTGGGACGATGAGGGGGTCAGAGGAAGATTGTACCTCTTGACTTCCAGCTGGATGGGGAGTGGAGCGGAAACTGGAAAATGAACATCAGGTGTATGACTCTAAGCACTGATCCTTGACCTAAAGACAATAAGGCAATGCCCATGTTCAGTGGTAAGGACTCCCTCTTTAATGCACAGTGACTGCTTTGTGACTCTTTGTTTTGTTTTGTTTTGAGACAGGGTTTCTTTGTATAGCCCTGGCTGTCCTGGAACTCCCTCTGTAGACCAGGTTGGCCTCAAACTCACAGAGATCCACCTGCCTCTGCCTCCCAAGTGCTGCCCAGCTTGCTTTGTGACAGCTGTTTCTCCATCCTCCTTAGGAAGCCAGATTTATTTTAATAATGTGTAGACTGCTTTTGATTATTTCCTTAGCACATCAGACCCATACTCTATGATTTTTTTTTAATTTTAAAACTCTTTTGAGTTTTTTGTTTACATGTATGTGTGTGCACTGCTTGCATGTCTGGTGCCTGGGTACCCAAGGGTTTTCTGAAGTTGAAGTTACAAATGGTTGTGAGCCACCATGTAGGTGCAAGGAATCAAACCCAGGTCCTCTGTAAGAGCAACCAGTGCCCTGATCCACCGAGCTATCTCTCCAGTGCCCCTCTCCTATTGGTTAAGAGCACTTGCTGCTCTTCTAGAGGACCCGAGTTTAGTTCTCAGGATCCGTATTTGAGGCTCACAACTGCCTGCAACTCCAGCTCCAGGAATCCAACACTCCTTCTGGCTGTTGCACACCTGCACACAAGTGGCACACATTCATGTAGATACATACACATATGTATCACATAATCAGACCAGACTGGCCTCAAACTCAGATCCGCCTGCCTCTGCCTCCCAAATGCTGGAGTCAAAGGTGTGTGCCACCACACCTGGCTTGTTTTGTTTGTATGTTTGTTTGTTTGTTTGTTTGGGTTTTGGTGGCTGTTTCGGAGGCACGGATAATGATTCACTGGACTATGCTCAAATATAGGTTAAATATACTTTATTTCGGGGAGAAGTCACTTACACAAGAAGCAAATGGCCACCGCAGGTTCCCGCTCTAAGGATCCTCACAGGCTGCTCCCTGTGACCCAGCCTGCCACCTGCCCCCACCTGCCTGGATCCCAGACCTAAATTAACTCCCAAATGGGCATGGTCAGTGCTACAGGTGTGGGCAGGGTGGATAATCTTACTACACGTTGTTGTTCTTTTCCAAAAAGAAATAAACTGTAGGAGCCAGCAGTGGGTAAAGGAGCTGCTGCCAAGGGTAACAAAGCGGGTTCAGTTCCTAGGACCCAATGGTGGAAGGAGGGAACTGTCTCCCACAGGTTATCCTCTGACCTGCATGTGTGTGCTGTCCTGTGTGCACCGACACTCACGCACACTCCTGTTTTGTTCTTGCCAGGGCTGTTGGTCAACCTGTCTCTTATCCCAGTCATGGGAGGACTAGCGTTGTGCACCGCCACTGAGATAAGCTTCAACATCCTGGGGTTTTCAGCTGCATTATCCACCAACATCATGGACTGGTGAGTTACAGATCACAAGGGGACGTGATGAAGGAGGGGTTGCTTCAGAAGGGCTTGTTTTGCTTCATCTGAGTCCTCGGGTGTTCAAATCCAAGCTAGCTCAGCCTCACTTCTGTGACTCAGAGCCAGGCTCCACTGTCCTGCCTTTTCTCAAGAAGTACAACAGTAAGTTCCAGATCAGATGCATTTTCTCCAAACCGAACTGGAATTCAATGATGTGTAGCCCTGATTCTTAACATACTAACTAGAGGGATGTGGTTGCAGAGTCAGGGTAATTGTGATGATCAGTGTGCTAACTAGACCGGCACACAAGCCTGTAATCTCAGCAGAAGCAGGGGAATTGCTGTGAGCTGCAGGCCGTTCAGGGATATAGAGTGAGACATTAGATAATAACAAAACCACAGAGATCTTCTGACCTTCACATTTGTACCTTGGCATTCATGCACACACCTACATACATGTGTGCCTTCGTGTCCCTCCCCCCACACTTCCTGTGTATGTGCCTGTTAAACTGTAGGATAAACCTGGTAATTATATGCTAATTCTAAGAAGAATGTTGTTGTCTGATGAAAAATACAAGTTTAATCATGTCACATGGTCAAGCTAAATAAAACCAAAGAAGAAGCCAGAGACCATCTCTTAAGGCTATAAAGCCAGGCTACTGAATCATTTTTTCTCTTCCTGACTGACTAATTATCTATATCCTGGTGTCTCTCAGGCAGATGCCAGTCATATGGTAAAGACCTTGGGGGAAAACGTTGGATTGGTATTGTTAGTCACAGTGTCTGCTGAGGGACAGATGTCATGTTCCAGTCCTGTTTCTATTTGCTATTTTTTTTCTCACTGTATAGTCTAGGCTGTCCTTGAATTTGTAATCCTCCTGCCTTAGCCTCCTGAGTGTTGAGATGACATGTTTTAGCCATTGTTTGTGGCTAATCACTGTATCTGGTAGGTTGTTTCCCATCTATGCAGTCACTGAAGTTCACCCAAAAAAACTACTAATCACTTTAAGGTTTTTCCTATTTTTGTTTTTGAGATAGGGTCTCTCTATGTAGCCCTGGCTGTCCTGAAACTCATTATGTAGGCCAGGGTGGCCTTGAACTCACAGAGATCAACCTGCCTCTATCTCCTGAGTGCTGGAATTGAAGGCATGTGCTACCATGTCTAGCTTTTTTTTTTTTTTTTTTTTTGGTATTTTCAAGACAGGGTTTCTCTGTAGCTTTGGAGGCTGTCCTGGAACTCACTCTGTAGACCAGGCTGGCCTCGAACTCACAGAGATCCGCCTGCCTCTGCCTCCCGAGTGCTGGGATTTAAGGCGTGTGCCACCAACGCCCGGCTATGTCTAGCTTTTTCAAAGAAAGAAAACAGCTACTATACATTTGTTATTACTGTTACTACTGAAGAAAACAGCTGGCCTTACAATTAGGAATGTTGCACATGAACAAAGATAGAAACCATACTCTTTTACTTTTCTTTTTTTTTTTTACTTTTTGAGACAGGGTTTTTCTGTGTAACAGCCCTGGCTGTTCTGGAAGTCGCTCAGTAGGCCAGGCTGACCTCAAATTCACAGAAATCCCCCTGCCTCTGCCTCCTGAGTGCTGGAATTCAAGGTATGTGCCACCACTGCCTGGCTTAGACACCATTCTTTTTTTTTTTTTTTTCAAGACAGGATTTCTCTGTGTAGCTTTGTAGACCAGGCTGGCCTGGAATGCACAGAAATCTGTCTGCCTCTGCCTTCCCAGTACTGGGATTAAAGGTATGTGCCACCACTGCCTGGCAAGGTCCACCTTTTAAAAGAAGCTGTAGTGAATGTACATAAGTGGTGTACATAGTGGCTGCAGCTGAGGACATATCCTGTCAGAGCCCTAAGGGCAGGCCAGTATAGATGCCTGAATACTAACATTCCTTCAAGTTTTTATTATAAAAAGGTGAGCAGTTAGAAAGGGGTAGCAAGTAAATCAGAGATGAGGAAACTGCTTCATTCTGACCTGGGGGTGTCGCAATCTTTAGGGGACCTGAGAAAGCTGAAGTGCTGGCCACATCCTAGGGTACCTGGCCTTTTGACTTCACTGTTCAGGGTTTGTGGAACCGTCAGCACTGCTTGGACCTGGCAAAATGCTGTTTCAGGTAGATCTATGTCGACTGCCTGGATCTTAAAGCACCTAATCCTTTCCCATCACCTGGGCACCTTCTTTCTATTCAATTACCAGGAAACACAGGTGGTTGATTACTGAGTGCAGTCATTGTAGAGTTAATGCCTTTTAATAAAGTAATAATAGTTACTTTAAAATCTGTTCTGTAAGTCTCTCTTCTGAATCAGGGGACTGTTGGCTCTCACCCGCTGGAGGTGTTTGGTAGTCTTGTGCCTCCAGCTCTGTGGCTAACTGTTGGTAGTCCTGTAACAATAGCTGATTAGTCGTTGGATCAGAGATTTTTGAATGTATCATTGGAGATACATAGAAAAGAAATTGATGAAGCAGGTTGTGGTTGTTAAAGATAGGAGAACAAGGAGAAAGGTTAGGAAGGAAGGTATCCTCTTGCATGGGGTTTCCAATCCAGTAGAAAGCAGGTTTTGAAGCAACAAAAAAGAAAATGGAGAATTCTTTCTCGGTTCCCCGACTGTCTGGTCCAAGGAATACTGAGGCCAGATTTGATTTAAAAGGAGTGGTCAGAGGGTTTCCCAAAGACATCCCAGTGGGATCGAGAAGGTGTATGACACAGTTCCCAAGGGTGAGGAAGAGGAAGATTGAAGGGGCACAATGATTAAGGCACAGAAAAAAGATCCAAGGCCTGAGTACGCTGTGTCCCAGGGACCCAGGGAGGGTCAGACTGAGCGGGCACAAGCTGTTTCAGTACATCATCACGCAAGAACAGGGCCCAAGGGCTCTGAGCCTGAGAGAGACACAGTTGCCTGGTGTGAGGACTTTGAGAAAAGCCAGAAGGCGAGGAGAGGACTGTGCTCTAGAAAGGAAACCTCACATCCAGGGGAATGGTCAGGGACAGATAACCCCACCAGAGACCAACTGTTGGTATTGAACAGAAGGCAGAGCCGTCATCAAACAAGGAAGCGCATGTGTTCCAGGTGGAAGAGAGCAGATCAGAAAGCAATGTTAAGGGGTATTTGGGCCAAATCTGACTAGAAAGGCAGATGGGTTTAGAATCCCTTACATTTGGCACCGAGTGCAAATGTCGGACGGAGGTATAAATGATGCCAATGTTCCCAGGAGTGAGGCAGATAAATGAGATTCAAAGGTCTGTAATCCCTGTGTCCCAGGAACTCAGAGTGGGCCAATTTTGAGAAGGCATAGGCCACTCAGTGATTTGCCAAATAGAGCAGGGGCCGATGGCTCCAAGCCCCAGTGAGCCGTGGTTGCCTAGCACCAGGACTTGGCAAGGCCAAAAGGCGAGAAACCATGCTTGACAGACGAGTTCTCACCCGTGGGAAATGGCCAGAGGTGGAGAAGAGGAGGCTCAACAATCATACTGGCATTACATGGAGGGACCCAGTGATCTGGTAGTTGAAGAAATGAGGCTGTCATATGTGGACCAGGTTCCAGGGTCCCAGTTGCCTCAGACTGGTGACTGACAGGAGAACCAGTGTTGTAATGTAAAAAATGCTACAAAGAGAAGTCACACAACAAAGGCTCTCATAAGTTTATTGGAAGAGGATGGAGAAAGGGCAGAAAAGGGGGCAGAGAAGGGGACAGAGACCAGTCCTTGGGGACAAGAATGGTGGAAGAGAAAAAGAGAGAGGGAGAATGAGAAAGAGACAGGAGGTGGGCAAGGCCTAACTTTTTGTTTTTTGTTTTTTTTTTTTTTTGGTTTTTCGAGACAGGGTTTCTCTGTGGCTTTGGAGGCTGTCCTGGAACTCGCTTGGTAGTCCAGGCTGGTCTCGAACTCACAGAGATCCGCCTGCTTCTGCCTCCCGAGTGCTGGGATTAAAGGCGTGCACCACCAACGCCCGGCAAGGCCTAACCTTTTAAAAGGGACCACATCGAATGTGCACAGGGAGTGCCGTTAGTGGCTGCAGCTGAGAACATATCCTGTCAGGACCCTGAGAGCAGGCCAGTACAGATGCCAGAATACTAACAGTCCCACGGGGCCAAGTTCTGGTCTCTGAGGTCACTTTTGAAGCCAGAATTGTATTATTTTCCCATTGGCTATTTGTATGTTTTCCCTGTGGTATGTCTCTACATAAATTCTGACGTAAAAATCTGATTTTTTTTGACTGGGGTTTTGCATGCATGGATAGTTTTTTTTTTAAGATTTATTAGTTATATAATGTTCTGCCTGAATGTATCCCCTCAGGCCAGAAGAGGACATCAGATCTCATTACAGATGTTTGTGAGCCACCATGTGGTTGCTGGGAATTGAACTCAGGACCTCTGGTAGAGCAGCCATTGTTCTTATCCTCTGAGCCATCTCTCCAGCCCGCATGGATAGTTTTATTCACATCTGTCTGTCTGTCTGTCTGTCTGTCTATCTATCTATCTATCTATCTATCTATCTATCTATCTATCTATCCTGGGAGCCTTCATTTGCCTGGACCCTAAGGCTACTGGATTTATGGAATTGTTTGTTTGCTTACTTTGTTTATTTTTGTTGGTTTAGATTTTGTTTGTTTGAGACAGGGTCCTGGCTGTCCTATAACTTACTACATAGAGCAGGTTATCCTTGAACTCACAGAGGCCCGCCTGCCTCTACTTCCTGGGTGCTGGGATTGAGGGCATGTGCCTCCACTCCTGGCTTAGATTTAATTTTTGGAGGGGTTTGTTTGTTTTAAGACAGGGTTTCTCTATGTAGACCCAGCTGTCCTGGAATTTACTTTGTAGACTAGACTGGCCTGGAACTCAAAGATCTGCCTGCCTCTTCCTCCCAATTACTGCAATTAAAGGAATAAGCCACCCAGCTAGATTTATCTTTATTATATATGTATCAGTGTTTTGCCTGAATGTATGTGTGTCACGTATACCTGAGACCTTCAGAGGCACCAGCACCCTCTATATTTATCTTTATTATACATGTATGAGTGTTGACCTGCATGTGTATATATGTATCACATATACCTGAGACCCTTCAGTATACATATATGAGTGTTACCTGCACGTGTGTATGTGTGTCACGTGTACCTGAGACCTTAGGAGACACCACCACCCTCTAGATTCATCTTTGTTATTTATGTATGAGTGTTTTGCCTGCATGTGTGTCACGTGTACCTGAGACCTTCAGAGGCCATAGAGGTCAGAAGAGGATGGTGGATCCCCTGGCCCTTGAGTTATGGAAAGCTGTGAGCCATCATGTCAGTTCTATGAACCGAACCTGTGTCTTCCTGTAAGGACAAGTGCTCTTAACCGCTGGGCCATCATCTCTCCAGCCTTCTTTTGGGATTTTGAACCGGGTCCCACTTAACCCAGGCTGTCTTTGAACTCATGTATCTGGAGAGATGGCTCAGTGGTTAAGAGCACTGACTGCTCTTCTGGAGGTCCTGAGTTCAATTCCCAGCAACCACATGGTGGCTCACAACCACCTTGAATGAGATCTGGTGCCCTCTGCTGGCATGCAGGCAGAAGACTGTATACACAATAAATAAATAAAATATTAAAAAAAAAAAAAAAAGAACTCATGTATCTGAAGATGACTTTTAACTCCTAATCTTCCTGCCTCCACGTCCCAAGTTTGGTTTTCCAAAGCATGCAGAGCAAACCCATCATGGCCCTCTGATGTTTGAGATGGCAGGTCATTCAGCCCCTTTTACTTGTCTGTAGGGACAGGAGGCACAGTTCTACTTCTTAGTGAGATGATGACTGGACACAGCTGGTAAAGGACTGGCCTCGGGCATGTCAGTGCCCGTGGCTGTTCACCTTTGTAGCCACTGCCATCATCTCCTCATTCACTGACTTAAATGCTTAACGTCTTCTCTTTGTTCTAGTTTGCAGAATGTTTTTTCGAAAAAGCTTCTCAGTGGCGACAAATACAGGTTCTCGTGAGTATCTCCAGGCAGAGGGCTTATGGTTTCTATTTTCAGCAGTGGTGGTAGTGGCAGTAATGGCAGGGGGTGGGTAGGTGGAGGTAAGACAACATCTCTCTATGTAGTCCTGGCTGTTCTTGCACTCCCTATATAAACCAGGCAAGGGCTGGGATCAAAGGTGGGCACTACCATCCAGCATTGAATATCATTTCGTGGGGCCGGTTGGTCATTTTACAACTCTGAGTGAATCCTGCATGCTGAACTCACTTGGTTTGAGTGGCTTTGTTTCCCAGCTTACTCCTCAGACTATACCAGCCAGCCAGCTGAGGTCATGGGGACCTCATCTTGTCATTGTGGGAGACACATTTCTAGATTGCTGATTCTTTACAGTTTTCTCTGCTGAAAATGCGTGGGTGGAAGCCTAGACACAAGCATGGGAAAGATCAAGTATTTTCTGTCACTTCAGGGCCCCGGAGCTGCAATTTTACACCAGTGCTGCTGCTGTGGCCTTGCTGATTCCAGCATGGACCTTCTTCATGGTGGGTTTCCAGCTGGCAGCCGCCACACTGGGGCTGCTGCTTCCCTTTGACAGTTCAGGAGAAGAAGGGTGGGTGGCTAAATTTTAGTTTTGTGTTAGGGTTTTTAGGCTTGCTTAATTTATCTTTTATTATGGAAGTGGTATTTGCCCCCAATAGAATAGTCAATAGAGTTTTTAATTGTTGTTGTAAGACAGAGTCTCATTATGTAGCCCTGACTGGCCTGAAACTTGCTATGTAGACCAGGTTAGCCTCAAACTTATATAGATGTGCCTGCCTCAGCTTCGTGAGTGCTAGTATTAAAGAAATGTGACCCCACACCCACCTGAGTCAACAGTTTTATTTCTGAAACCAAACTGAGAGGCTCTCCCAGCTTTAGCCCCTTCTCTAAGCTGCTTGTGGGTACAGACATACTCCTGACACATTTCCTGGACTCCCTCAGTTTATGGAAGTGCATGTCTGTGTAAATCTTTTTCCTTAAAACATGTTGCTCTGGGAAATCTATAGTGATCATGCTGTGGGTCATAGCTATACCTTGCCCTACGGTTCCATACATGGCAAAGAAATTTCTCACATCAACACCCTTTGGAAATAGGGGTATGTTTATAATATAGTCTTGGAACTGGAATGGTCTATTGAAACAGTTTATGTTTCCACTAACAGTATATATACAGGATTTCCAGTTTCTTAAGATCCTTACCAATGAGGGCTTTTGTTTCTTTGGTTTTTCTTATTGTTGTTGTTGTTTAAAAACAAAACAGAACAAACAGGATATCATTTTGTAGCTTGGGCTGGCCTAGAACTCACTGTTATGCCCAAGTTGTGAAGATCCCCAAACACCACCAGGGAGACAGACCCACCAAACTGTAAAAGCAGTGTTTTATTGTTCATCCAACCATGACAGGTTGGCTAGCTGATACAGCCTCCAGAGGGTGCGAAGTTCCCTGTCTGCTGCTAGGTTTTTAAAGACAAAAGTTACAGGATTACATGAGTAGGTATAGGTTGGCTTCTGATTGGTTGACATTTGGGAACAACCAGGAGAATTTCTCAAAGTCATATTTTGGCATGAAATACCTGTATACCAATTATTCTCATTGGTCAGTGCTGAGAGGGAACATTCTGTGGTTTCTATGGCTTTGTCTTTTTTTTGTTTGTTTGTTTGTTTGTTTGTTTTTTTGTTTTTTTTCGAGACAGGGTTTCTCTGTGGCTTTGGAGGCTGTCCTGGAACTCACTCTGTAGACCAGGCTGGCCTCGTACTCACAGAGATCCGCCTGCCTCTGCCTCCCGAGTGCTGGGATTAAAGGCGTGTGCCACCAACGCCCGGCTGGCTTTGTCTTTTTACTTGCAGGTGGACTGTTGTTCATAGATACCAATAGTTTTCAGAACTGTATCCTAGAGACTCCAGGGGAGGTTTTGGTCTCCCCTGGAGTTTCTTTTGTGGCCAAACAGTTCCCAGAAACCAAGTATCTAGGAGGCTAGGGGGGTGTCTGGAGTTTCTTTGGGTTCAGTTTTAGCCCTAGGCTCTGGGATCTGGAGTTTCTTTTTATCATGTGCTGAGCCAGAGGCCTACATGTCTTTTCTGTAGCCTGTCATGGCTGCTAAAGCAGGGGGCTGAATGAGAGTCTGGTTCCTTCACTCACTGTATATCCCATGTTGGTCTCAAATTGTTGGCAGTCTTTACCTCAGTCTCCTGAATGCTAAGATTGCAGGCCCAGTTTGGCCTGGAATTCACAACATAGCCCAGCCTGGCTTTAAACTGCTGGTAGTCCTCTTGCCTGTTTTCCAAGTGAAGCCCCCTCCCCCTCCCCCAAAGCTTTTCTATTTATCTGGTTTTTGATAAGACAAACACCTGAAGTGTCTGCATGGAGGTCAGAGGACAGCTTTGGGAGCCAGTTCTTGCTTTCTATCTTATCTGCTAGTCAAGTCTAACAAGTTTCTGAGGATCCGCTTGTTTCTGCCTCCCATCTTATAATAGGAGCAGTGGGGTTACAGACATGTACTACCTACCATGTTACCATCGTTAGCTGTACATATGTTCTGGGAGTCTGAACTCGAGTTTTTATGCTTGTATTCCAAGTGCTTTACTTACTGAGGCATTTCCCCCCTCCCAACCACTTTTGAGATAAGATCTCAAGTAACACAGGTTAGCCTCAGATTTGCTGTTTATCTCAGACCATCCAGATCCTCCCGTCTCTACCTCCTAAATTCTGGGAGTTAGCACTGTGCCTGGCCCATGCTGGAAGTCTTGATAAATGTGGTGGAACTGTGCTGTCTATCAAAGAGGAATTCAGCACTCTAAGTGTTACTGCTTTCAGTTACTGGGCACCAGTGACATCATATCTTCTCAGAGCAATGACAGGACAGACACAGCAGGGAGACACAAGCCACAAGAATGTTCTTTTGTTTTGGCCGTAGGATGTCCCTGTGATTGGCAGGAGTGGGAAGAGCTTCAGCTACAGCCAGGACATCGTGCTGCTGCTGCTGACAGATGGCGCCCTGTTTCACCTTCAGAGTGTCACTGCATATGCCCTCATGGGAAAGATCTCCCCTGTGACTTTCAGGTGAGTGGAACAGTTTTTTCAGGAGACATGGAAGATGTTTGAGGTTCTCTTCCGTAGTGATAGCTGGTGGCACATTATGGTTCCTTTGATATTTTGTTCTGTCACTGTATGACATAGATTTCCAGGGAACTTTTTCCTAGAAATCTTTGTTGCAGAATTTTTTTTCCTGAGATTCATTGGTAATTATTCTATATAGAACAAGGCTGTCAGAGTTGTCTAGATAATAGAGTGTATTGTTTGTGGTGTTCCAAACAGGAACTGATGCCCACATGTTGTTCCTGAGCTCTTAATGTGGGAGTACAGTGACAAAAGATTTTCTCTAGTTGATTTTAATCAGTTTACTCCCCCCCTCATCCCTCCCAATTATCTGTGTAGCCCTGGCTGTCCTAGAACTCACTCTGTAGACCAAGCTGGCCTTGAACTCAGAGATCTGCCTGCCTCTGCCTCTCAAGTGCTGGGATCAAAGACCTGAGCTTTTTTTTTTTTATTATTTTTGTTAAAGTAACAAATAAGTACATGTTCCTTAGTATCCCAGGGAAACTGGTTGTAGGACATCCACTAATACCAAAACTCACAGATTATTTTTTCTTTTTGAGATGGTCTTATGTAGAATCCAGACTGGCCTGAAATTACTATATAGCCAAGGAAACCTTGAACTCCTTATCCTTTTGCCTCTTTCTCCCCAATGCTGGGATCATAGCCATGTACTACCATACCTGATTCAAAATCCACAGATATTAAATTCCTTATATAAAATGGCAAGGAATTTGCATAGAAACTACATTCATTTTCTAAGTCATCTTTGAACCACTTAGGACTAACAAAATGATGTATAAGTTCTATATAAATTGTACTTAGGACTAACAAGATGATGTATAAGTGCTATATAAATATTGTACTTAGGACTAACAAGATAATGTGTAAGTGCTGTATAAATATTGTACTTAGGACTAACAAGATAATGTGTAAGTGCTGTATATCAGTGTTGGTGGGAGTGGTGGCACAATACTCAAGTCTGAGGCAAGAGAATAGTTAGCTGCAAGAGCAGGATCCATGGTGAGAACTGTCCCTCCCCACACCCCCAAAATACACACACCACAATATCTCTAGTTGACTTTAAAATATTTCAGTCCAGGAGCTGAAAATTGGCTCAGTAGTTAAGAGTACTTATTGGGATTAAAGGCATGTGCCATGCCTGGCTCAATAATTTTTTAAAAAGGGAAAAACAACTAAGGCCAAGCTGGGTATGATAATACACACTTGTAATTCAAAACCAGCCTCATCTATTTAGAGTGTTAGATGTTGGCCTGGGCTACGAAGGAAGGAAGGAAGGAAGGAAGGAAGGAAGGAAGGAAGGAAGGAAGGAAGGAAGGAAGGAAGGAAGGAAACTAGCTCTAGAAAATGTAACAAAATGCCATTCATCAAGTCCAGGTAGTGGGGGATCTGTCACAGTGCTTTTCTACTTTTCTGTTTGAGGTTTTTCTTTTTCTTTTTTTTTTTTGTTTTTTTGTTTTTTTGTTTTTACGAGACAGGGTTTCTCTGTATTGTTTTGGAGGCTATCGGTCCAGCCCAGCCTCGAACTCACAGAGATCCTCCTGCCTCTGCCTCCCGAGTGCTGGGATTAAAGGCCTGCGCCACCACCGCCCGGCGAGGTTTTTCTTTTATTTATTTAATATATATGGGTATTTTGTCTGCATGTATGTGTGTACATCATGGGCATGCCTAGAGCCAGAAGAGGGCATTGGATTCCCTGGGACTGGAGTTATAGACAGTTGTGAGCCACCATCTGGGTGCTGGGAGCCAAACCCAGGTTCTCTGAAAGAGCAGCCACTGTTCTTACCTGTTGAGTCATTTCTTCAGCCTCTTTTTTGAGATTTTTTTTTCATTAAAAAGAATAAACCTGAGAGCCGGGCGTTGGTGGCACACGCCTTTAATCCCAGCACTCGGGAGGCAGAGGCAGGCGGATCTCTGTGAGTTCGAAGCCAGCCTGGTCTACAGAGTGAGTTCCAGGACAGCCTCCAAAGCCACAGAGAAACCCTGTCTCGAAAAACCAAAAAAAAAAAAAAAAAAAAAAAAAAAGAATAAACCTGAGAAATAAAATAACAAAATTGCAGGCAAACCCCCTAATGCTCCCTGTGCTAGGCACCTCATCCATGTTCCCCTTGGGGCCAAGACCCTGGATGGACAACACAGTGGTGGCTCATTGTGTAATATTTGTTAGTCACTGACAGCATCAGGCTATACTCTGTGTGGGTGTGAACCCAGAGCCTGTTTTCTCTGCTCTATTTTTATAGTGTCGCCAGCACTGTGAAGCATGCTTTGTCTATCTGGCTCAGCATCATCGTTTTTGGCAACAAAATCACCAGCCTGTCTGCCATCGGCACCATCCTTGTCACAGTGGGTGTCTTACTCTACAACAAGGCCAGGCAGTATCAGCAAGAGACCATGCAGAGTCTGGCCACAGCCTCTAGCCGGGTCCCAGAGGATGACACAGAGTCACTGGTTCCCCAGGACTCTAGACAACACCACTGAGCTCCTTCTGATACGGTGTCCCCTAGAAACCAGGCCTAGACTGTCCTCCTGCACTATATGCCATCATAGAGAAGCAGACTACGCGGACTCTTGTTCCTCACTGGATATCAGATGGGGAGTTTGGGGATCAGCTTCTGCCTGACAAAACCCTCCAGGAGGAAGCAAATGGCCTGACACACTGCCCAGGCTGCAATTGGGCCAATGACTCTGCGGGACCAACTGTGGAATAAGCACAGGTTCCAAGACCAACATGAGTTGCTCTCTGCTTGATGCCATCCAGGAGACCTCAGCTTTCCTATGCCCACCACCACCACAGGCACTGAAGCCTCCTGGTTCCTGACAGTCTATGAAACAGAAATCCTAGATGCCAATGATTCTAGTACGGAGCCACAAAACCCTGGGAAACCAGAGTGGCAGACAGAACAGAGACAAGTGTTTCCTTCCACAGAGGCACAGTGCTTGTGTGAAGGGAAAGTCTTCCCTTTTTGCCTGTGCTACACTGAGATACCCCACTCCAGGTTTACTGACCCAAGTTTCTGCTACTTGTTTGGTGATTTCTCCAACTCTGAGAAGTTAGGGACAAATCTCTAATTGGAGCTGGTGCCCTGGAGTTCTTTTTTTATCTTGGGTATGACTCGTGTGGAGCAGGCTGTTCCAAATGGCACAGTTGACCGCCCTGGGTGGGTGACAGGGAAGTTTAGCAGAGCATTTGAGCGTCTACAGGTTGTGACAAAGACAGCACCTGTAGAAGCTTCTGGAATGTCTGCATGTAAGGTGAATCGAAGTCTCCACACACAGCTGGCTCTTCCCAGGGATCATATATGGCAGTTCCTGGGCCACCAGGTGCCCAGAGCCTTTCCGTCCTTCCAGGGTCACTAGTGTTAGGTGCCTGAGCAGTGGAGGACCAGAATGGGGGCTTGGGTACAAGATGCTGAGATGTCCTACCTTATTCATCATTTCGTGGGTTCCATGACCAGCCAGTCTTTAAGACTCTCTCCATTAAGCCAAACTCTGAGACATACGAGCTTCAGGCACTGGCACATCTAGTTCCAAGTCTCACTTCTCACTGCTCTTCATCTTCAGGGCCCAGGGTCGTTCACTGGTTTCCAAGTTGTCTTCTTGCCTGGAAAATATGAAAATAACCCCTCAAAGAGATAGATTAAAGTAAAAAAAAGAGCAATAATTATGTTTTATTTACTTGAAAAAGTTTACTGTGATGATGGATCAAAATGAGGCCTTTTAATTTACAAGCCACCTTTGAAAAGAAGCTGATGTGTATTCTGGACACAGGCTAGGTGTCTCCCCCGTGCTGTGTAAAGTCGCCTCCACTGTGAAGGGGTTTTCTCATTTGAATTTTCCAAGATTTCTAGTTCCTTCCTCTGTGCTTTTCCCAAAATAAAGACCTAATGGAGGGCAGATGATGGATGCTGGATTAATCTGTACATTAGGCCTGTCTGCTCAAGAATCTGACTGTGGAGCTGCTGACATACATAGGAGGCCACATGCTTGTGGACATTGGTTGAAAGATCGTTCTGGCCTCCCTACAGACCTTGTCTAATTATGCTCAGAGCTCCAAATGACTGGATTCTGAACAGTATTTGGAATTTCTGTCTCTGTGCCCCATGTGGAATTAGGAAATGGCCCACTATGACTTGCTCTGGCTACCCCTCCCCCACTTTACCATCCTCTCAGCCTGTTTTGATTTTCTAAGTTTGTAGACTGGAAAACAAAAACAAAAAACAAAGATTTCCTTAAAGCTGCTTTTGAGGTTTGTACTCATTGCAGACGGAAAGATCATGGAATCTGTACTAAAGCCAGCAAGCTCCATGACCCTGTCCAGCTTTACATTCCATCCACGTCATCGCCACACACAGCCACTTCTTCCAGCATTTCCAGGACAGGCATGGATTGAGAGTCCTGGAATGGCCCTGCCTGGCCATTTGTTATGACCATACCATCACAATATTTTTTTATTAGCTATTGTCAGTACTTTTATAGAATACTGTGTTCTTCAAGAATTGTTGCTGATGTACATGTAGAAATATTGACACCAGGTGTCATTACTTGTCTTGGATTAATTCTTTCTGAGTCCGTGTTACTGTCTGGCCTATTGTAAACAAAGCACTGGATGGACCTTCTGAGCCAGCCATCTGCTAACTCATTATACCCATAGTTAAGAGATACACAGATTTCTAATTTCAAAGCACCTCTTGGGCTGGAGAAATGTCTCAGTGGTTAAGAACTAGTAGTGCTCTTGCTAAGGACCCGTGTTCATTTCCCAGAACTTGTGTAGGGTGCTTCACAACTGCCTGTAATTCCAACTTTAGTGATTCTGATTCCTCTGGCTTCTGTGGGCATCTGTACTAGTATGCACACACATACACATGCACACATAATTTAAAATTTTAAAACAACGTCCATGGCTTTGGGGTATAGTTTAGTTGCACAGTGACACATCACTGTTATGCATTATGAGGCCCTCTGGTTGGTCCCTAGCAGCACACAACAAAAGCCTCAAAACTTCCACTATTTTTCCTTTTTATGGTTTTTCGAGACAGGGTTTCTCTGTATTGTTTTGAAGCCTCAAAACTTCCACCATTAAAAGGCATAGAACATAGATGTCTTTTAAAGTTGGGCTTGGTGGCACTTACCTGTAATCATAGCCCTGGGAAGGCATTAGGCTACATAGTTATTTCAAGGCCAATTTGCGGTATATATTGAGACCCTGTTTCAAAAACAAAAAACTTAAAACCTTTTTCTGATGGTTGTAATTTCCTGTATATCAGCACTATAATCTGTCTGCCTGGAATTTTGAGAGAATTCTTATGCAATCCAAAATGTGTTTTAACCTGAGAAAAATAAAAATGATAAATCAGAGATTAAAGAGAATAAAGCTGCACAAGAAATCTGTCAAGTAAACTTCACTTCCTGCCTTAAACATCACAAAACAAGTGGCTCTGAGACCCTGCTCTCTCGGTGGTCACTTTGCTTAATGAAGATAGTAAATGCTCAGCACAACCTTTCACATCTATCCAAGTGATGTCTTCTAGAACTTGAAGCATTTCGTTTCCTAACATTGGAAAAGATGTTACTAAGGATGGGAAACCATGCTAGTTCTTTCTGAGATAAGTTACCCTGTGTAGCCATACTATCCTTGAAGTCCTTGGACTCCACAGACTCCTACTTCAGCCTTCTTAGAGATTATAAGCATATGTCACCTCCAGTTTTTTTCAATTGTCTTGTCTTTGAACAATAATCCACTATTTTTCCCCCTCAAAACAGAAATATATGTCCTACCTATGAGGGTTCTCTTCATCTCTCTTGTGTGTGTGTGTGCTAGGGATAGAATTCAGGGCTTCAGGAATGCTAGGCTGTTGCTTTTTCTATGAGCTATACCCCCAGCCTGTTTTCTTAGTTTTTTTTTTTTTAATGTTTTGGGTCCCCCCCATGAACTAGAACAGAACCCCAAGGTCATGCTAATTGTGAACAAACAGTACCAACCACAATTCAGAGTATAGTAGACTTTAACTTCAGGGTCTCCTAAGTGTTTCCCAGTTTTCTTGGGGTCTCAGACTCTGAGTTAGATGGCTGTTGAACCTTTGCTCACATGTCTAAGTTTAGTTTGAAACCAATCCAATTGGCAAATTGCATGCTTGTGTTTTTCTGTTTGCTTTGTCTGTAGTTTCCATCTCTGGAACTCAAACTGCATTAAATTCATTTGTAATGTCTAGATTTGAAGATAGTTTTTTTTTTTTTTTTTTTTTTTTGGTTTTTCGAGACAGGGTTTCTCTGTGGCTTTGGAGGCTGTCCTGGAACTAGCTCTTGTAGACCAGGCTGGCCTCGAACTCACAGAGATCCGCCTGCCTCTGCCTCCCGAGTGCTGGGATTAAAGGCCTGCGCCACCAACGCCCGGCCTTGGAGATAGTTTTTTATCTGTATTTGTTCAAGCAGTGTTGGCACTTTGGAAAAGGCCACAGTTTTTAAAGTCCCACATTAAGAAAAAAAAACTTGATACTATATTGGTAATCCTCTACATCAAAGCCAATTCATAATTGTTTTGCACCAAACAGTACTAAGGAACTAAAATGTATCATAAAATGTATAGTGTTTTTTTATTTCACCTATTTCAGTATTTCAGTAATTAGATTAATGCCTCCTAGAAAAGAATTCTGTAAAATAATTCAGTGAGTCATATAATAAATTGGTATTATGTATTTAACCCTGTGCAAGTCTCATTTCTTTTATCCAAGCCACCAATAGTTCTTGTGAAAGAAAATGTGAAATACGTAATTGTTTTGTTTGTTGGGGTAGGGGTTTGAGACAAGGTTTCTCTCTGTGTGGCTGTCCTGGAACTCATTCTGGAGTCCTCTAACCCACAGAAATTTGCCTAACTGCCTCCAGAGTGCTGGAACTGAAGGTGAGTGCCACCACCACCTGACTTTTTTTTCCCCCAAAACCCTCAGGGATAACCTGACAAAGACATGCAGAAGGAATTTTCATTTCTACTCTGTCTTCCATAAACCCTCATAGGCTTTTAGTGGAATGATAGAACTCTTCAAGATCTTCAGTTGGTTTAAGTATACACTTTTGAGAAGTACTGCCATAGTTGTCAGCTTTAAAATCTCACTGTAGCCGGGCGTTGGTGGCGCACGCCTTTAATCCCAGCACTCGGGAGGCAGAGGCAGGTGGATCTCTGTGAGTTCGAGGCCAGCCTGGTCTACAAGAGCTAGTTCCAGGACAGCCTCCAAAGCCACAGAGAAACCCTGTCTCGAAAAACCAAAAAAAAAAAAAAAAAAAATCTCACTGTAAAGCGCCACCTGCCCTGCTATGGTGGAGCACGCCTTTAATCCTAGTGCTCATGAAGCAGAGACAGGCAGGAGTTGGAGGCCATCCTGGTCTACAGCACAGGCTCCAAAGCTACACAGAGAAACCCTGTCTCGAAAAAACAAAAACAATACCTCCTTTCAGTGTGTCAAGACACAATTACAATTTGGAGACTTTGGAGATCTTTTTTTTTTTTTTTGGTTTTTACGAGACAGGGTTTCTCTGTATTGTTATGGAGGCGGGCCTGCCTCTGCCTCCCGAGTGCTGGGATTAAAGGCGTGCGCCACCACCGCCCGGCTGACTTTGGAGATCTTAATTAGTTTTGTGACTCTGCAATTCGAATGAACAGAAAACAAAAAAAGAACACAGAAGGGGGCTGGAGAGATGGCTCAGAGGTTAAGAGCACTGGCTGCTCTTCCAGGGGTTCTGAGTTCAATTCCCAGCAACCACATGGTGGCTCACAACCATCCGTAATGAGATCTGGTGTCCTCTTCTGATATGCAGGCAGAACACTAAATACATTATAAATAAATAAATCTTAAAAAAAAAAACACATAAGATGGTGGTGCACACAGTAGGGTCTCTCTAAGATCAAGGCCAAGTCTACATACCGAACTCGGTCTCAGAGCAAAACAACAAAGCAGCCAATCGCTTCAGTACGCCACACAGACGAGGTTGGTTTTTTTTTTTTGTTTGTTTGTTTGGTTTTTTTTTTTGGTTTTTTTTTTTTTTGGTTTTTCGAGACTGGATTTCTCTGCATTGTCTTGGAAGCTGTCCTGGAACTCGCTCTGTAGACCAGGCTGGCCTCGAACTCACAAAGATCCACCTGTCTCTGCCTCCCGAGTGCTGGGATTAAAGGCGTGCTCCAGCAACGCCCGGCTTGATGAGGTTGGTTTTAAAGACAGAAAGGCTGAGAAAACTGGATTCGTCTCAGGGTTATTTTCATTCACAGGGTTCTTCATCATGACAGCTGCAACTAGCCTATCCGGGAATTCGGCTTCCTGAGACCCTCTAACGTGACTCCACGAACCAAAGGCCTCGTATAAGTTGGGACACGTAGAAACAAATGTCTGGTTGTAGCATGTCGCGAGCGGAGAGGCTGCGCAGCCTGTGGCCAATGCTACCGAGTGCCTGGAGGTAGTTAGTACCGCCGCAAGCGTGGCCGTGCAGCGGGAGCCCAGGTCGGGAGTTTCCCGGCGGCGGCGGCACACCCCGCCCACATCCAAAACCGACGCCCGGGCGGGTCGTCTCAATTACGTCATCTGCCAGAGACACCCGAGGGCGGCGCCAGACGCCGGTTTGCCGGTAGCAGGAACCAACACCGGGAGTACGGACACTTCCGGTGGGCGCAGGGTACTATGGGAGGGGCGGGAAATAGAGCCCACGCGCGACTCGCCGAGCCCCCGTGCTACGTGATCAGCACGCGTCGGCGAAGGAAGTGACGACGATCCTGGCGCGCGCCGGGCGTTGTTTCTTCTCCGACTCCAGGACTGGCGGCGGCGGCGGCAGCAGCGGCAGCAGCGGCGCAGGGGTGAGTTGCGGCGGGAGGGCAGATGTAGGTTGACTGGCGCGCCTGAAGAACCCGCGCTGGCGACACGTTGCTTCGGCGCCCAGCCTTGCTCCATACAGAACCAAGGGCAGCGGAGGCGGCGGGCCCTAGCGTTCCCCGGAGCCAGCAGCCCCTGCCCGCCTCAGGCTTGCGTGGGGTCCCGCGTTTGACAGTGCTCCTTGACCTAACCTGTCGCCCAGGCCTCCCCGCATCCTGGAGCTCTCTCGTTTAACCTCTTGGCACCTCAGGCAGAGTGTGTTGGGTGCGAGGCACTGGAGTAAGAGCTCTGACCTGGATGGTCTTTCATCCTAGAACACTACCCATTACGTGCGTGGATGGTGATGATTGCGTTTTACGGAAAAGTGAACCGAGGTAAACCCGAGTTGCCCCCAAATCTGACAGGACTGGCAGAGAAAACTGTATTAAGGCAGAATCCTTCCCTCCTACCTGGACTTCCGGGACTTAATTCTGAAACACTTAACGGTTAGACTTAAGTGTTCAGAAAAGGCAGTGCAACAGGCCGTGGCTTTCTGTGTCCCGAAGTTGCTTGAATTATTTTTCTTTTTGCAGTGTTTTAACTCAAATGGGTGATGAAAAGGACTCTTGGAAAGTGAAAACGTTAGATGAAATTCTCCAGGAAAAGAAACGAAGGAAAGAACAAGAAGAGAAAGCAGAGATAAAACGCTTAAAAAATGTAAGCTATGTTTTTTAAGTAAGTGGTTTTCTTAAAGGAGATTTAATTTCTTTGCCCTCATTTTTCCATTAGAACAACGCTTCTTCGGTGAAGTTCTTTTGTACTTCCAAATGTCACAGGTGAGCCCAAAATCTATTTTAAAATTCACAAAAACTTTCATTTACTCAGTTGACATTGAAGGTACATTGATAACACACTGAAGCTGTATCTAGTTGCTTTTTTTTTTTTTTTAATCTGCATTGGTGTTTTAGCCTGCATGTATGTATGTCCGTGTGAGGGTGTCAGATGCCCTGGAATAGGAGTTACAGACAGTTGTGAGCTGCCATGTGGGTGCTGGGATTTGAACCCAGGTCCTCTGGAAGAGCAGCCAGGGCTCTTATTCACTGAGTCATCTCTAGCCCCCTGAAGCTGTATCTGAATGAGAATATTTCCTTAAAAAATAAAATGCTCTGAGCCGGGCGTTGGTGGCGCACGCCTTTAATCCCAGCACTCGGGAGGCAGAGGCAGATCTCTGTGAGTTCGAGGCCAGCCTGGTCTACAGAGCGAGTACCAGGACAGTCTCCAAAGCCACAGAGAAACCCTGTCTCGAAAAAACCAAAAAAAAAAAAAAAAAAAAACAAAAACAAAACAAAACAAAAAATAAAATGCTCTGAACCTAGGATCGTTATTGCAACGAGACTAATTTTTCTCAGTTGATTATCAGTATATTCATAATACCATTTCCAAGTATGTTTAATATAGTGGGAACTTGCCTTGTAAATAAAATGAGTGCTTTGTAACTTCCTGGGTTTGATGATAGCATAGTCAGAGGTTTTTGTGATTGGACATAAGTACTTGTTTTGATAAGATTGGTAGTAGACCGTTTTTGAAATGTATATGTAAATCTTTGCATGTGATGTGTAAAATTCTACTTAGGTCTTAATTTTGACTCACAAAAAAACTAAGATTTGCCAGGGCCATGCTGCCCTAAGCTCTTTAATCCCAGCACTAAGGAGGCAGAGTCAGGTGCATTTCTGTGAGTTTGAGGCCAGCCTGGTCTACAGAGTTAATTCCAGACAGGCTCCAAAGCTACACAGAGAAACATTGTCTCTAAAAACAACAACAATTATTCTCCCATAGCATAGTCTCATATCCCTTAGCATACATAGTGTTTTTAACTTTCTGTTCTTGGGTCACATAAAAGGTGATGTTAAGTACATGAAATTTGAACAAAAGTTATCTTGTATTTTGTAATGTCTCCATTCAAAGTGTATATTTAAAGTTGCTCAGCAAACTCCAGTTTTAACCAAACACTCAGGAACTTGGCGGGCCAGTGCTATATAGTGAGACTCTGTCTCAAACTCAAACGTGTGTCATATATATGTTGAGTAGGGTGAGGTGACCTCATTGTTTGGGAGCTGAGGCAGAAGGTTCAAGGCCAACCTCAGCTACATAACAAGATAGTTTTCAAAGATTAGAGAGACTATCTATAAGGAAAATGGCTTAACGATTCCTTTTTTCTTTGCTTTTTAGTCTGATGACCGGGATTCCAAAAGGGATTCCCTTGAGGAGGGGGAGCTGAGAGATCACCGAATGGAAATCACCATCAGGAACTCACCATATAGAAGAGAGGATTCTATGGAAGACAGGTGAGAAAATGTAAGGTGTAGTAGTAGGCACATTTAGCCTGCTGCCCATGGGCCAAGCTTGCCCCAGATTATCTGTGAATGCATTCCATGCAGAATTGTAAAATACTGAAAACATGAGTTTTGATTTGTTTTTTTTTTTTTTGCCGTATGATATGATATGATATGAGAGGGGGGGGAAAGAGAGAGAGAGAATGAGAATAGAGAGTGTGGGTGCACATGTGTATGTGAGTGTGTGTGCATGCATGCCTGTGTGTGAGTGTGTAGGTGTGTCTGTGTGTGAATTCATCAACAGAAGCCAGAAGAGGGCATTGATCCCCTTAAGCTGGGGTAACAGGTTGTTGTAAGATACCCAATATGGGTCCTGGGCACTGAACTTTGGTCTTCTTCAAGAACAACAAAAGCTCTTAACCACTTAGCCCTTTAGCCTGTCTCTTTCAGTATTACTTTGAAAAAATTTAGAGGCTGGAGCGAGGCCTTAGTGGTTAACAGCATTTGTTGTTCTTACAGTGGACCCAGGTTTGGTG